TTTGCCGATGACGCCAAGTTATTTCGGGAAATTAAGAACCAAGCGGACTGTGAAGAGCTGCAGAAGGACCTCTGTGGGCTCCAGGAATGGTCGAAGGAATGGCTGCTGAGATTCAATGTCACGAAGTGTAAGAGGATGCACCTGGGGCGTACCAACGGTAAGGAGGCGTACCATATGTCCCAACGGGATGAAGAAAATGTACTAGTTGAGACTGTGTGTGAGAAGGACCTAGGTGTGTATGTTGACAATGAGCTGAAGTTCTCGGGCCATTGTGAGAAGAAGGTAAATCAGGCAAATAAATTATTGGGTCTTATAAGAAGGTCGTTCAGATATCTAGACGGTCCGTCCCTCGTGACGATCTTCAGGAGTGAAGTGCTTCCCCATCTGGAGTACTGTCACCCCATCTGGTCCCCGAGATATGCTAGGGACTGTCAGTTGGTTGAAAATGTTCAAAGGAGGGCCAAAGCTGGTGCCTGCACTTCGGCATCTCAGCCTGCGAGATTGGAGCGCCTGAACTTGCCTAGCTTATACTACAGACGGGCAAGGGGGGACCTAGTTGAGGTTTATAAGCATCTCAGGGGGCACTACTCAGTTGAGTGTCCTTACTTGGAGCTGGCGGACGCTCGCCCCACAAGGGGTCACAGCTCAAGATTGAAGAAGCCGCAAGTCCGGAAAACCGTGAGGGCAAACTTTTTCGGAGTGAGGGTTGTAAACTCTTGGAACAATCTACCAGAGAGTGTTGTGACGGCACCGAGTGTGAGCTCTTTCAAGAGAAGACTTGACCAACACTGGAGCGGGTTCAGGTACATTCAGGAGCCGGTGCATGCCCAGTATTTGCCAACAGTGCGTGACAGAGACGTGACCGATCCCGGGCTGCTAGCGAGCCGACCTTTTGGTGAAGAATATAAAGGAAAAGAGTCGTGACCGATGCGGCAACAAGCCGATCAGTGGCGAAGAGGATAAAAGTAAAAAGTAAAAGTGATTTGTGAAGATGAACAGATATTGCCTGTATTTTATAGGTATTTTCAATTTAATTGTAAATATGAGAGTAATCAGTGGTACAGAAGACCCAAGGTACAGTGGAAATAGTACTCCACCGAAAAAGAAGGCAAAAGTGTTGATGACCAACCCAGAGTTGGGTAAAAACTGATGCAATTGATAGGTAGGTTGAAGATGTCGAATGGAATTATGGTTGCTTTACATCCTAAGATTGCTGGCCTTCCATGGTTATACCTTGAACATTTATTTAAATTGAAGCAGACAGGAAAAACTATTTTGCTCCTAGTGATGTTTATTGGCCATATGTGTACAGTATTTTTTCATTCCCTAATTAATTAATTAATTAATTAATTACCTTATCGATATTATATTTGAGAGGCTACTTTTACTTCTGCAGTACAGTATATTTTCAACTACAGTAGAAAAGTGCAGTATCATTTTACCCTTGATTAAGTACATATTATGAGTGATATTTTTACTTCAAATCAAGTAACTATTTTATTTGTAAAATTACAGTACAGTACTGTACTGTACTCTACTTGTACTTTAACATGAGTAAAAATATTTTGTATACCTGTACTGTATACTTTGCACACCTCTGTATACATTGACACATACACAGAACAATGTCCATATCCTCATCCTCATCCTCAGTCATCCTTTTCTTGTTTTATATGTACACATAATTATTATGATAATACAGTACAGTATAGTCTTCATTTACGCGGTCAATTGAACCCGTGGAGTACCGCGTAAAACGAGAAACTCGTAAATGAAATAACAGAACATATGTGATTAATTGAAATAGAGACTGGGCCGACCCCCAAACTCCACTTTTTGCGACACAATACGTACGTTGTAGTAAAAATATTATCTTAATTTTATGATGGTATGCACACACACATAATATAGAAGAGAAATATCAATAAGAGCATAATATACTGTACCAGGTAAAAGAAAAATCAAGGTTTAACACTTACGTTAGTAGAAGAGATGGGTCGGCATACGAGAATGGGGGCTGGTTCCGAGGCAGAGGGCAGATTACTGGCCCTCAGGTGAATCGCCATCACTATCCACCATAGTTGTCAGGGTCTCCCTGACAAACCCCTCAAAGTCATCACTGTCACTGGCTTGGGCTGGCTGTGGTGGGTTGCGGGCGAAGAAGTCAGTGATGTTACGCTGACGGCTAGTGTTGATGTGGTCGTGATACATCGTGATGTACGGCTCCATAGTTTGCAACAGATGGTTACTGAAGACTTCATAGCGGTGATCGTCAGGGTCGTTGGAAAGGACGAGCTTGAGTTTCTTGGCAAACTCGATGGCATCCCTAACATTACCATGTGTTAACTTATGTTCTTCTCAGGTTGCCGCACCACCTGCATCTTCACTGACGTCATCGTCTTCCAACATCTCGTCGGCAGTCACCTCAGGATCCCTGATTACCTCCATGATGTCGTTGTTGGTGGTCTCGGAGAAGCCTGCAGCTGTAACACTCTGTGCAGCTTCTCTTGCAAGGTCCACTGCCACTGCAACAGACTGAACCTCACCAGCCACAGGTTGACTCTGCCTCCCACCTGGGATACCCTGCAACACATGCCGCCACGCGTGACGAATCGTTGCCACAGACAGCTGCCCCCATGCCTCCACCAAGAAATCAACAGCTTTCTTGACGTTAAACATTTTCCAAAACGGTTTAACTCGCACTTCATGCTCCGCCAACTCTTGTTCTGCATCCTCGTTGTCGTCGCTCTCGCTATCTGTGCCACTCAGAAGGTTAAGCAACTCATCCTTGGTGTTGGTACAGTCGTTCAGGAGCTTAAACTTCTTTGCAGAGAATGCAGCCTTAACGTTGCATATCAACTCCTGGTCCATGGGCTGGATTAATGATGTAGTGTTGGGAGGAAGGAAGACCACATTTACATTGGGTTGATGATCGAACAGTAGGGGCGACTGTCCTGATGCGTTGTCAAGCAGCAACAAAATGTTGAATGGCACATTATTTTGCGCGCAGAATTTCTTGACGTCGGGAACGAAACAGTCGTCAAACCAGGAGAGGGACAGACCAGTGAACATCCATGCCTTACGTGAGGTTAGCCAGTGGACATTTAGCTTGGTCATGTCCATGTTCTTGTAGGCATGTGGCTTGCGGGCTGTGTGGATCACCGACAACGTGAGCTTACAGGTACCGGAGGCATTGGTGGTAAACAGGAAAGTGATGCGCTCCTTCTGCAATTTCCGGCCCTGACACTTGCTGGCAGACTGGTCAATGAAGGTCTTGGAAGGTAATTTTTTCCAAAACAGACCGGATTCATCCATGTTGAACACCTGGTCGTCGGTGTACTGTCCTTCCTCCATAACTTCTAGTAAGAATGGAGGAAAATCCATGACGGCAGCACGGTCAGCACTCGCTCCTTCACCAACAATGTTAATGTTGGAAATCTTGTTCCTTTTCTTAAACCCTTGCAGCCACCCAGAGGAAGCAGTGAAGGGTTTGGGCTCTGCAATTCCCATCGTGCGCGCCACTGATGCATACAGTTCACGTGCGTAGTCCTGCACTATCCGCGTGTTGACCGCCTTGTTATGTCTTGCCTGACGAATTAAGTAGTTCACCAGCAAGTTCTCCATCTTGAGCAGCACCTTATTCTGACAGTACTTTACCATTGAAGCACCTGCAGACTTTGTGATGCTCATGTGTTCTTTAATCTTGGCGGCATCCTTCTTGATCGTCCGGATTGTAGGTTCATTCACATCATGCTGGCGCACCAAATCAACTTGTCTCGTTCCTTTTTCTAAATCTTGCACGATCTTGTACTTAACTTCGTAACTTAGGGTACGTTGTATCTTCTTGGGCTTGGGGTGGCTGGGTCCAGGTAATGCAAGGTTTTTCTGTGGTGGAGGGTCCAGCGGATGCCATTGTTGAACCGATTAGCGAGCACAATAGAGAACAGTATATGCGGCGACAGGAGAACAATGAGACTGACGCGGCTGGGTCAGGCGCTCCCTCATGTCCCAGGCCACGTCATATAACATTAGACCAATCACAGCTACTGGCGGAGGGAATGCGTGGGTGGTAAGGATGCGTGGCCCAATCACAGTCCGATACGTCATATGACGTCAGCGATAACGCAACAGCAACCTAATGCGCATCCCCCACTGCGCCGCTTCCTGCGTATGGTCGAGAATGGACAGCTTAAATGAAAAATGGCGTGGAGCGTCTGGACCTCCAGCCGCTCTCCGCGTAAATGACCAAAATTACCATGTAATTGAAGCATTTTCATTCTGGCAAGGCACCGCATAAATGACAAAACGCGTAAACAAAACCTGCGTAAATCGAGACTATACTGTATTGATATGAACATTGATCATGGCAAAAAATTTCTGACCAGTCATGATTTAGTGATAGTTTATAATGATGTTTGTTGCACAATAGCATCTTGTGTGCAAATGTTTTTTTTTTTTTCATAAATAATTGCTCCTGTGTTTCACGGGTAAAACTTGGCTACTTTTTGTCTTGAGTTTTCCATAATCCATCATATTTTAACATTGCAGTGTAGATGCTTACAAAGAATTATCCTAAAGGAATCTGCATTTCCCATACTGAGTCACACCCCAATGTAAAAACAACAATTAATCCAAGATAACATATAGTGGACCTACCGGGTCCTTACTGTATATCTAATTTCAGTCTCTTTATACAGTACAGTTACAAGCATATTAGGTTAATGTGTTATTGTTAAACTTGTATGTTTAATCAAATTAGGATTTATGACTTCAGTTTGAATGTCTGACATTTTATATTTTTTTGTCAAATGCTGTGATTTTCTGTCCATTAAATATGAAATGCAGAAAAATAGGAATTTTATAGAACTTGTAACTTTCTTTTGGGGAGAAGACATAAAGCACCATCTTTACTAACTTAAAGTACAGTACTGTAACAATGTCTTACTTGTAATTTATTAATACAGGTATAAGAATTTTCATGATTAAATTTATCTCCGCAGGAAACCAAGTTGTACAAGTGAGGCAGGAGTACAAATGAAGGTTATTGGCCAGGGTCAAGCCTATCTGGAAGACACAGAATACACAGGCCATCAAGACTCTTTCTACAGTAGTTGTCGATCAGAGAGTGATTGTGAAGAGGTAGATGACAAGGACAGGCCGATGGATGCAGGAACAGACAAGAGGGACGAATCATACCCAAGACACTCACAGTCTGCGTGGGGTCATCCCAGAAAGTCCCCAAAAGACTTTCTGTATGAAGAAGTACAAGATGCACAGTTTAGATTTCCTTCTACAGAACAGTCCGATCCTGTAGGTGTGTCCCAAAGTGAGAATGTTGCCTGTGTGCCAGGCACTTACCTTACTGATAATGACAATGATCAGGAAAGTACAAACCACTGCTTGTTTCATGATGCTTGCTTCTTCAGTTCAAATACTTCACTTGATTCTAGCATTAGTCAGCCTTCCTGTGCTAGTCTTGATTCCCGCTTAGCACATATTTCTGGTAGTAGTAATACTTACCACAGTAGAGTTTTGTCTCGCACTTTCTTTCTGGATTTGGCAAAAGATGGTCATGATGCCAATTCTTCAACAAATACGCCGTTGGTTTCACCACAGTCTCCTTCCGAATCTCGCCGAAGGTGGGACAAAAGTGTTTGGCCAGAAGTGGAGCGAGGTTTACGCAGAAACCAGAGTGTCCCACATATTGACTGTGTGCGAACTGGAGATGATCGGCAGCATAAGAAACATGGAAATTCATTCAGCTCCCAGCACCTATCCTCCGGTGATCGAGAAAAACGACAGAAAATCATTGATGCCGTTACTCGTCGTTTGTACCCAGGCAGTGGACCTGGGTTTGGTCGGCGTCCCAGGAAGGTGTTAGACAAGCCTAATGTTGCAGGGGAACGCGAATGTCGGTGTCGAAAGAAGGCAGTGTCCGACACAGAGACTCCTACTACTAAATCCACAGGTAAAATAGTTGTTTCTGCTCCAGGCACACCCAGACATCTTAACCGATTACCATCAGTTGTTCCTGGGACGACATCAACATCAGTACTTCAGCGTTCACCTGGCAGCACTCCGATTCTTTGGCGTCGATGCAGTGCAGAAAGTGACACTGGAAGCCATGTGCCTCTTCCAGTACGAGGAGACCAGTCGCACAATGACAGGTCTCCGCGTAGTCCAAAACAAGAAAGTGGAATACCTGTACTCACACGAACTACAAAGCAAGTTACTAGGCGTGAGGTTAAAACTACCACTACTACTAAAACTAGAACTTTAAACACGACTGAAACAAAAACTATTAGTGCTGTGCCTCGTACTGATGATAAGCCAAGGATGTTTAATCAAGCAGTAGGTTGTGATTTAAGTGATGTTAGAAGTTATGGTAATGTTGGTCCAGGTGAGACTGTAGGTATACAAGTAGGTATGTCTTCATTTTCTAATAATAGTGATAGTGAAAATATAAGTGATACTGCTTCAAAGATTGAAAAACAACCGATACACCCAGAAGTAGACTTGTTAAGTGATGTAATAGACGCTCCTAGTGGTGGGCAAGAGAGGGAGAGACGGCGGATCCCCCTTACTCCTGCTCTGCACCAACTGAGACGTGCCTTGGCATCACTGAATGACCCGGAGAGGTTTTCAGATGATAGTTTGGAACTTTGTAAATTAGAAACAGATACTCAATCACCATTAATATTGCGACTCAGTCCTACACTTGCTGATGATGATGATAATTCTCTAGGAGACATTAGTAAAGACTCATTGGAGGAGAGTATGAACAGTCTTGAGTCACAGGATGTAGCTGTTCCCTTTGAGATTGACAATTTGGCATCATCAAGACAGGAGGAAAGCAAGAGTTCTGATGTGAGTGTGAGCATTGTTACTGAACAACCAACTCCAGGTCAAGGTGAGCCCCAGGACCCTTTTATTCAATCTTTTTTCCAGGCTATTAATGTATCCAACAAAGGTAGTGCCATTGAGGTTGAAGAGTCTCATTCCTTATCTGACGAAAGTAGTGATGTACTGGATAATGAGACTGTTGTATCAGGTAGCCAGAGTTATCCTAGTCCATCATATGCATCTCCTGAGAGACAGAACACTGATATACATACTGTCATTGTTAATACTCCACCAGACTCTGCTTTACCAAGAACAGTGCGAAGATGGACCCGTGAAAGGGTAGAGAAACGTATCATAGATTCCACTAGTTCAGAGGACAGTGACCTGGATTCTAGAAGACGGCCTCGGTTTAGAAAGCGACGTCCTCGGAGATCATCGCTTCCTATTACCTCATCACAATCCCAGTTTGTATATGAACATCAGGATAATTCAGACTCCACTGACTATTTATCAGTCCAACACTCGTCACCAGAGAAAATCAGGCATGAAGTTCTGGGTATGAAAGATATGAATGCTAATAAAACTTCTAAAGCCTACTCTGCAGTGTACAGTAGTGAGGTGGACACTTCGGGGGAATATAAAAACTTACAGGATGTATATAGCTGTGAGAACTTTAGCATAAAGACTGCTTCCACTTATAGTAATGCAGGAATATTAAGTGAAAAGAATGAAAATTTGTCCAATCCACTGTTGCCATCAAACAGGGATATGCATGATGGGAGTACCTCTGAATATTTTTCATCTCGCACTCGCATACAACAAGAGGCCATTACTGCTAGTCAACATCGGCTTGACATGAGAGTAGCTTCTTCCAGGGACATTGACTCTCAAGAAATGTTAAAGGAGTCTGCCAGAAGGTTGTTGCAAACAGTGAGTAAAGATGGCCCTCTATCAGAAGCATCACAATTTGCTGTGGCTGATCTGCTAAAAGCATCATCTCATCGACTAGCAAGCTATGCATTAGGTATATCTGATGGTAACACAGAATTGTCAGAATTTAATTTTCCCCGGTCTGATAGTGGGGCTACCCTGGATGAAGATTATGACACTGCTCAAGGGGAGGAAAGTTGGCAGGAGAGCTCTAATGACTCTCACACATCTCTTAGGAAGAAAACTTATTCTGCTTCACGTGCTGATTCTGAGTGCAGTACAACATCTAAAAAGGCTTCTCCTCAGAAAGTTAAAATGTACCAAGTTCCAGCTAAAAAAAAATCATCTTTTGAAGAATTCACTAGCTCGGTGGATCTAGTAGGTAGCAGCAGTGGAGGTGAAATGTCTCCCAATGAATTTATGGGAGACGTGACTGATGACAGCACTTCAGCCACAACACCTATAGCATCTCCAGTTAGTGAGTTTGGTTCAACTGAGAGCTCATGGGAGGAATTTGAGGCTGCAGATCATGAGCAAAAAGGTGAATTAAATATATCTAAAAAACAATTACAAGTAATAGCTGCTGAGTTTACACCTAGGACAGCTCGACGGTTGTTGTATACCATTATTGAGTGCAGTGAAAGTAGCCGCTCTGAAGGTGCACCATCTGAACCAGATGTTATCCCCTCAGATTGGCAAGATACTCTTAGTGATGCAGAGGAAGAATTTGGCTCAGGAAGTGTTAGCTGTGAGGTTAGTGAAGAACCCTTGAGCTCGTCTGACGATACCATGCTTGATACTGTTCGACCAAATCAGGATGATCCTCAGGATTCTCTCTCATGTGTTTCTGATGATGTCTTAGCTGACTTTAAACCTGGCTTGTCAGAAGGCTGTACAGTTGCTGTTGCTCAACAGTTAGCACAGAACTTGGCTGGTTCTCTTGAATTCCTCACAAGTTTACCTTTGTCACCAGAATGTCCTGACAGGGAAGATGATTCTTGGGACATGGACACCACGCTCAAATCTCCTTGTCGTGAGAGTCCACAGCTGCTGGATGAAAGGGGCTCTTTGAACACGAGTGTTCTGATAGATGATCTAGCTTGTACAAACATGCATCCTGGACTGTTTGTAAAAAGGAGTAGTCTTCCTGAGTGTGTACCATCTTTAGACTTATCCCATCTAGGAAATTCCCCAACATCAAGTAAGTTATCCCTAACATCAGATTCAAAAGTGAGTCCTCCACTTACACCACAGAATTCTAGCAGAGTAAGTAACATGCAATGTTTACATACCAGTCAACCTGGCCAAGTGCCTAATGAAGATTGTAAACACATTGTAACTAATGTATCTCTACCAGTAGTGCCAGCAGCCTCAAGGAGGGAAGCTAGTAAATTGCCCCTTTTCACAGCAGAAGCTACTGTGGTAGAGACGAGAACAGATGTTGAACAGACTTGTAAATTGGACAAGAATGATTACAGGAAGGTAACTCCAGTACAGTTGAGTTGTGACCAATCTCAAGATATACCAACAATTGCAAAAGCCTTTAAAAAGCAAGAAGAAAAAGCAACAATGGAAAATACAGTCATGAAAGTTGGTCCTTCTGAAATAGAAAATGTTCAATCTCTTAATGATATTCAAGAAATTGGAGTAAACAAGGAAGATTATGTCCAACAATCAGAAATTTTAAGAACACCCAGAACTCGAAATTCTTCAGCCGATATTGGTATATACGAAGCATTGGCCACTGAGACTTCATGTAAACCAGAAGTGATGCCTGAGACCATACAAAATTCTATGGCTCAAGTTACTCTTCCTGATGGTAAATTTTATAATGAAAGTGCATATTCCTTGGGGGAAGTTAAGGTCCTCCAGGCTGTATCCTTGCCACACACTAAGGACATTCAGACAAAAATTGGCAGTTCCCAATCAGTAGTGGAAGACAACAGTTCTGAATTAATAATGGAAGACAACAGTTCTGAATCAACAGTAGAAGACAACAGTTCTGAATCAACAGTAGAAGACAACAGTTCTGAATTAATAGTGGAAGACAACAGTTTTGAATCAACAGTGGAAGACAACAGTTTTGAATCAACAGTGGAAGACAACAGTTCTGAATTAATAGTGGAAGACAACAGTTCTGAATTAATAGTGGAAGACAACAGTTCTGAATTAATAGCGGAAGACAACAGTTCTGAATTAATAGCGGAAGACAACAGTTCTGAATTAATAGCGGAAGACAACAGTTCTGAATTAATAGTGGAAGACAACAGTTCTGAATTAATAGTGGAAGACAACAGTTCTGAATTAATAGTGGAAGACAACAGTTTTGAATCAACAGTGGAAGACAACAGTTTTGAATCAACAGTGGAAGACAACAGTTCTGAATTAATAGTGGAAGACAACAGTTCTGAATTAATAGTGGAAGACAACAGTTCTGAATTAATAGTGGAAGACAACAGTTCTGAATTAATAGTGGAAGACAACAGTTCTGAATTAATAGTGGAAGACAACAGTTCTGAATTAATAGTGGAAGACAACAGTTCTGAATTAATAGTGGAAGACAACAGTTCTGAATTAATAGTGGAAGACAACAGTTCTGAATCAACAGTGGAAGATAACAGTTCTGAATCAACAGTGGAAGACAACAGTTCTGAATTAATAGTGGAAGACAACAGTTCCCATGTAGCAAGAAATCAACCACAACAGATGCCTATGGTGCAGTATCAAGCACCATGTACAGTATTACCACAGGACAATATGGTAGGGTTCAGTATTTCTCGAGGAATGGTTGCTTCAACACTACAAAATTCCATGCTGGAAGATGGCATTCTCCAAAACACAACAAGGGAAGTCATTTCATCTTCAGCTATAACTAATTTAACGTCACAGAATTCCACAGCAGATGCTGGTGCATATTCAGTAATGACTCCCTTGACATCAGACAACTCACTGTTCCAAGTTAGTTTTCCACAAACAATAGCTACTGAATTATCACAGCTTCCCAGAGTGAATGAAAATAAAACTCTAATTGCAACTTTCCAGCCAGAACAATTGTCCATGGTAATAGACAGTACTCCACGAGCACCGGCTAATTTATCAACTCAAAGCTGTGCTGAGGAAATCATACATTCATACTGCACACAACAGCTTTCAGTGACAGAAGCTGATATGAATGTTTCAATAATTTCTTTAAAGCCAGGGAATTCTAGGGTAAAAGACAACATTACTCAGAGAGAAATTCTTCCACAATCACAATACTCTGAAGTGGAAGTTAACACTGCCGAAACAGTGATGCCTTTATCACTACCGAATTCCAAGTTAAAAGTTAAGAACCTTCAAATACGACAAGCAATAAATCCTCAAATGCCTGAGAATGCAATGCACGAAGTCTGCACTACTCAAGAAGAAGTTCATCTTCCACCACTGAGCTCTGTTATAGAAGTCAGCAGTGCTCATGTTATGACAACTCTCACACCACAGAGGTCCAAAATAGATGTTAACACTCCGCATGTGGTGATTCCTCAAATACTGGACAACTTGGCTGATGTCGGCAGGCCACAAGTAGTGTCTTCCCTACTACCACAGGACACAGTAGAGGAAGTCAGCAGTAGTGAAGAAGTGATTCCTCAAGTTCCACTCAGCTCATTAGAGAAGGTAAAACCTCCTTTAAGAAAACAAGAAGCCATAATTGATGTGACTTTTATAACTCCTCAAAACTCTGTGGTGCAAGTTAGTGGAACTCAAACACTGCCTCCTGCCACACTAGAGAGCATGACAGAGGATAGCATCAGCAATGAAAAAGTTTCTTTTGCACCACAGAACACCATGATGGAAGCCAGCAGCAATTACACAGTAATATCTCAAAAACGACAACATTCTGTGGTAGAAGTTATTGCACCTAGAGTCATGAGTCCTTTACCACCACTGAACATTATGACTGAACTCGGTAATATTCACACAGTGACTCCTTTAATACCACAAAACTCCATGGTAGAAATTACAACTTCTCAAGCAGTGACTCCTCTAACACCACACAACTCCATGGTGGAAGTCCTAACTTCTCAAGCAGTGACACCTCTAACACCACAAAACTCCATAGTGGAAGTCCTAACTTCTCAAGCAGTGACTCCTCTGAGACCACAGAACTCAGTGGTAGAAATTGGTACTCAAGAAGTAAATAGTGTCTCTTTGGAGGAATCTACAATAAATATTGGATCTCTTCAGGAGTTGAGTTTTGAATTAGAGCAGGACTCCATGTTTGATGCAAGTGCGCCACATCAAGTAAGCTCCATGATGGGAATTAAAAATTATCAGGAGGAAGTAACTCTTCTACCACAAAACTATTCTGTTTTAAATGTTAATTCCCATGAGGTAACTACGGATACTCCTTTGACACCTCAGATACCCAAAGTTGAAGTTATTGTTTCCCAAACAGTGACTACTTTATCACCACAGAGCTCTAATATTCAGACCAGTAATATAGTGGATCAGTCTCATGTAGATGTTACTATTACTAAAGCAGTAACTCCTCTAACACCACAGATCTCCATGGTGGAAGATTCAACTTCTGAAGCAGTAACTCTTATACCACAGAACTCCATGGTGGAAGTTTCAACTAATGAAGCTGTGACTCCTCTAACACCACAGAACTCCATGGTGGAAGTTTCAACTTCTGAAGCTGTGACTCCTCTAACACCACAGAACTCCATGGTGGAAGTTTCAACTAATGAAGCTGTGACTCCTCTAACACCACAGAACTCCATGGTGGAAGTTTCAACTAATGAAGCTGTGACTCCTCTAACACCACAGAACTCCATGGTGGAAGTTTCAACTTCTCAAGCAGTGACTCCTCTAACACCACAGAACTCCATGGTGGAAGTTTCAACTAATGAAGCTGTGACTCCTCTAACACCACAGAACTCCATGGTGGAAGTTTCAACTAATGAAGCTGTGACTCCTCTAACACCACAGAACTCCATGGTGGAAGTTTCAACTTCTCAAGCAGTGACTCCTCTAACACCACAGAACTCCATGGTGGAAGTTTCAACTAATGAAGCTGTGACTCCTCTAACACCACAGAACTCCATGGTGGAAGTTTCAACTAATGAAGCTGTGACTCCTCTAACACCACAGAACTCCATGGTGGAAGTTTCAACTTCTCAAGCAGTGACTCCTCTAACACCACAGAACTCCATGGTGGAAGTTTCAACTAATGAAGCTGTGACTCCTCTAACACCACAGAACTCCATGGTGGAAGTTTCAACTAATGAAGCTGTGACTCCTCTAACACCACAGAACTCCATGGTGGAAGTTTCAACTTCTCAAGCAGTGACTCCTCTAACACCACAGAACTCCATGGTGGAAGTTTCAACTTCTCAAGCAGTGACTCCTCTAACACTACAGAACTCCATGGTGGAAGTTTCAACTTCTCAAGCAGTGACTCCTCTAACACCACAGAACTCCATGGTGGAAGTTTCAACTTCTCAAGCAGTGACTCCTCTAACACCACAGAACTCCATGGTGGAAGTTTCAACTTCTCAAGCAGTGACTCCTCTAACACCACAGAACTCCATGGTGGAAGTTTCAACTTCTCAAGCAGTGACTCCTCTAACACCACAGAACTCCATGGTTGAAGTTTAACTTCTCAAGCAGTGACTCTCTAACACACAGAACCCATGGTGGAAGCCAACTTATGAAGCAGTGACTCTCTAACACCACAGAACTCCATGGTGGAAGTCTTAGCTTCTCAAGCAGTGACTCCTCTAACACCACAGAACTTCAAGTGGTGGAAGCCCTAACTTCTCAAGCAGTGATTCCTCTAACACCACAGAACCTCCATGGTGGAAGTTTCAACTTCGAAGCAGTGACTCTCTAACACCACAGAACTCCATGGTGGAAGTTTCTCAACTGAAGCAGTGACTCTTATACCACAGAACTCCATGGTGATGTTGGCAACTTCTGAAGAAAGACTTCTAACACCACAGAACTCCATGGTGGAAGCAACTTCTGAAGCAGTGACTTTTCTAACACCACAGAACCCATGGTGGAAGTTTCAACTAATAAAGCTGTGACTCTCTCAACACCAGCAGAACTCCATGGTATAGAAGTTTCAACTTCTGAAGCTGTGACTCCTCTTAACAATTACCACACAGAACTCCATGGTGGATGTTTCAACTTCTGAAGCTGTGACTTCTAACACCACAGAACCTTATAGTGAAAGTCCCAACTTCCCAAGCAGGATTCCTCTAACACCACAGAACTCCATGGTGAAGTTTCAACTTATGAAGGAGTGGCTCCTCTAACACCACAGAACTCCATGCTGGAACCTAACTTCTCAAGCAGTGACTCGCCTGACACCACAGAACTCCATGGTGGAAGCCTAACTTATGAAGCAGTGACTCCTCTAACACCACAGAACTCCACAGGAAGCTTCAACTTATGAAGGAGGGTCTTCTAACACCACACAGTTCCATGGTGAAAGTCCTAACTTCAAGCAGTGACTCTCTAACACCACAGAACTCCATGGTGGAAGTTTCAACTTATGAAGCAGTGACTCCTCTAACACCACAGAACTCCATGGTGGAAGTTTCAACTTATGAAGGAGTGGCTCCTCTAACACCACAGAACTCCATGGTGGAAGTCCTAACTTCTCAAGCAATGACTCGTCTGACATCACAGAACTCCATGGTGGAAGTCCTGACTTCTCAAGCATCGACTCCTCCAACACCACAGAACTTCATGGTGGAAGTCCTAACTTCTCAAGCAGTGACTCCTCCAACACCACAGAACTCCATGGTGGAAGCCCTAACTTCTCAAGCAGTGACTCCTCCAACACCACAGAACTCCATGGTGGAAGCCCTAACTTCTCAAGCAGTGACTCCTCCAACACCACAGAACTCCATGGTGGAAGTCCTAACTTCTCAAGCAGTGACTCCTCCAACACCACAGAACTCCATGGTGGAAGTCCTAACTTCTCAAGCAGTGACTCGTCTGACACCACAGAACTCCATGGTGGAAGTTTCAACTTATGAAGCAGTGACTCCTCTAACACCACAGAACTCCATGGTGGAAGTTTCAACTTATGAAGGAGTGGCTCCTCTAACACCACAGAACTCCATGGTGAAAGTCCTAACTTCTCAAGCAGTGACTCCTCTAACACCACAGAACTCCATGGTGGAAGTTTCAACTTATGAAGCAGTGACTTCTAATGTGGGACCACAGAACCCATGGTGGAAGTCAACCCCTGCTATGAAGGAGGGCTCCTCTAACACCACACAGAACTCCATGGTGGAAGTCCCAATTTCTCAAGCAGTGACTGCCTGACACCACAGAACCCATGGTAAGTCCTGACTTCAAGCATCGACTCCTGAAACACCACAGAACTCCATGGTGGAAGTTACAACTTCTGAAGCAGTGACTTCTCTAACACCACAGAACTCCATGGTGGAAGTTACAACTTCTCAAGCAGTGACTCCTCTAACACCACAGAACTCCATGGTGGAAGTTACAACTTCTGAAGCAGTGACTTCTCTAACACCACAGAACTCCATGGTGGAAGTTACAACTTCTCAAGCAGTGACTCCTTTAACACCACAGAACTTCATGGTGGAAGTTTCAACTTATGAAGCAGTGGCTCCTCTAACACCACGGAACTCCATGGTGGAAGTCCTAACTTCTCAAGCAGTGAATCCTCTAACACCACAGAACTCCATGGTGGAAGGCCTAACATCACAAGCAGTGACTCCTCTAACACCACAGAACTCCATGGTGGAAGTTTCAACTTATGAAGGAGTGGCTCCTCTAACACCACAGAACTCCATGGTGGAAGTCCTAACTTCTCAAGCAGTGACTCGTCTGACACCACAGAACTCCATGGTGGAAGTCCTGACTTCTCAAGCATCGACTCCTGAAACACCACAGAACTCCATGGTGGAAGTCCTAACTTCTCAAGCAGTGACTCCTCCAACACCACAGAACTCCATGGTGGAAGTCCTAACTTCTCAAGCAGTGACTCCTCCAACACCACAGAACTCCATGGTGGAAGTCCTAACTTCTCAAGCAGTGACTCGTCCAACACCACAGAACTCCATGGTGGAAGTCCTGACTTCTCAAGCATCGACTCCTGAAACACCACAGAACTCCATGGTGGAAGTCCTAACTTCTCAAGCAGTGACTCCTCTGAGACCACAGAACTCAGTGGTAGAAATTGGTACTCAAGAAGTAAATAGTGTCTCTTTGGAGGAATCTACAATAAATGCTGGCTCTCTTCAGGAGTTGAGTTTTGAATTAGAGCAGGACTCCATGTTTGATCTAAGCACGCCACATCAAGAGCCCCTTATGACACAAGTAAGCTCCATGATGGGAATTAAAAATGATCAGGAGGAAGTAACTCTTCTAGCACAAAGCTATTCTGTATTAAATGTTAATTCCCATGAGGTAACTACTCCTTTGACACCTCAGATACCCAAAGTTGAAGTTATTGTTTACCAAACAGTGACTACTTTATCACCACAGAGCTCTAATATTCAAACCAGTAATATAGTGGATCAGTCTCATGTAGATGTTACTATTACTAAAGCAGTAACTCCTCTAACACCACAGATCTCCATGGTGGAAGATTCAACTTCTGAAGCAGTAACTCTTATACCACAGAACTCCATGGTGGAAGTTACAACTTCTGAAGCAGTGACTTCTCTAACACCACAGAACTCCATGGTGGAAGTTACAACTTCTCAAGCAGTGACTCCTCTAACACCACAGAACTCCATGGTGGAAGTTACAACTTCTGAAGCAGTGACTTCTCTAACACCACAGAACTCCATGGTGGAAGTTACAACTTCTCAAGCAGTGACTCCTTTAACACCACAGAACTTCATGGTGGAAGTTTCAACTTATGAAGCAGTGGCTCCTCTAACACCACGGAACTCCATGGTGGAAGTCCTAACTTCTCAAGCAGTGAATCCTCTAACACCACAGAACTCCATGGTGGAAGGCCTAACATCACAAGCAGTGACTCCTCTAACACCACAGAACTCCATGGTGGAAGTTTCAACTTCTGAAGCAGGAACTCCTCTAACACCACAGAACTCCATGGTGGAAGTTTCAAATTCTGAAGCAATTATTCTTACACCACAGAACTCCATGGTGGAAGTTTCAACTTCTGAAGCCGTAACTCCTCTAACACCACAGAACTACATGGTGGAAGTTTCAAATTCTGAAGCAGTTACTCTTACACCACAGAACTCCATGGTGGAAGTTTCGCCTTATGAAGTAGTGACTCCTCCTAACACCACAGAACTCCATGGTGGAAGTTTCAACTTCTGAAGCCGTAACTCCTCTAACACCACAGAACTACATGGTGGAAGTTTCAAATTCTGAAGCAGTTACTCTTACACCACAGAACTCCATGGTGGAAGTCCTAACTTCTCAAGTGGTGACTCCTCTAACACCACAGGAGTCTAAAGTGGAAGTTTCAAATTATGAAGTGGTGATGCCTCTAACACCACAGGAGTCCACAGTGGAAGTTTCGCCTTATGAAGTAGTGACTCCTCTAACACCACAGAACTCCATGGTGGAAGTCCTAACTTCTCAAGCAGTGACTCCTCTAACACCACAGGAGTCCAAAGTGGAAGTTTCAAATTATGAAGTGGTGACTCCTCTAACACCACAGAACTCCATGGTGGAAGTCTTAACTTCTCAAGTGGTGACTCCTCTAACAACACAGGAGTCCAAAGTGGATGTTTCACCTTATGAAGTGGTGACTCCTCTAACACCACAGAACTCCATGGTGGAAGTCTTAACTTCTCAAGTGGTGACTCCTCTTACACCACAGGAGTCCACAGTGGAAGTTTCACCTTATCAAGTGAAGACTCCTCTAACACCACAGGAGTCCAAAGTGCGAGTTTCACCTTATCAAGTGATGACTCCTCTAACACCACAGGAGTCCACAGTGGAAGTTTCACCTTATCAAGTGGTGACTCCTCTAACACCACAGAACTCCATAGTGGAAGTCTTAACTTCTCAAGTGGTGACTCCTCTTACACCACAGGAGTCCACAGTGGAAGTTTCACCTTATCAAGTGGTGACTCCTCTAACACCACAGAACTCCATAGTGGAAGTCTTAACTTCTCAAGTGATGACTCCTCTAACACCACAGGAGTCCACAGTGGAAGTTTCACCTTATCAAGTGGTGACTCCTCTAACACCACAGAACTCCATAGTGGAAGTCTTAACTTCTCAAGTGGTGACTCCTCTTACACCACAGGAGTCCACAGTGGAAGTTTCACCTTATCAAGTGGTGACTCCTCTAACACCACAGAACTCCATAGTGGAAGTCTTAACTTCTCAGTGAGTGGCTCCTCTTACACTACTGAGGTCACAGTGGAAGTTTCACCTTATCAAGTGGTGGCTCCTCTAACACCACAGGGCTTCCATAATGAGTCTTAACTTCTCAAGTGGTGACTCCTCTTCACACCCACAGGAGTCACGGTGGAAGTTTCACCTTATCGAGTGGTGACTCTCTAACACCACAGGAGTCCACAGTGGAGTTCACCTTATCCAAGTGGTGGCTCCTCTAACACCACAAGAACTCCATAGTGGAGAGTCTTAACTACTCCAAGTGGTGACTCACTCTAACAACACAAGGTCCTGATGGTGACCTAGCACCACAGGGTCCAAGGTGGAAGTTTCACCATGTAAAACTATTGACTCCTCCCATACCGCAGAGTCCTGATGGATGTTCACCTTATCCAAAATTAGGCTCCTTTAACACCAGGAGTCCTGATGGTGACTCCTCTAACACAACCAAGGAGTCACAGTGGTGACTCCTCTGCCCTAGAGTCCACAGTGATGACTCCTCTAACAACACAGAATTACGTGGATGGCTTTCACCTTACAGTGGTGACTCCTCTAACACACAGAACTCCGCCAGGTGGAAGTCTTAACTTCTCAAGTGGTGACTCCTCTTACACCACAAGGGAGGGAGTCCACAGTGGAAGTTTCACCTTATCAAGTGGTGACTCCTCTAACACCACAGAACTCCATAGTGGAAGTCTTAACTTCTCAAGTGGTGACTCCTCTTACACCACAGGAGTCCAAAGTGGAAGTTTCACCTTATGAAGCGGTGACTCCTCTAACACCGCAGGAGTCCACAGTGGATGTTTCACCTTATCAAGTGGTGACTCCTTTAACACCACAGGAGTCCACAGTGGTGACTCCTCTAACACAACAGGAGTCCACAGTGGTGACTCCTGTAACACCACTGGAGTCCACAGTGTTGACTCCTCTAACACCACAGGAGTCCACAGTGGATGTTTCACCTTATCAAGTGGTGACTCCTTTAACACCACAGGAGTCCACAGTGGTGACTCCTCTAACACCACAGGCGTCCACAGTGGTGACTTCTCTAACACCACAGGAGTCCACATTGGTGACTCCTCTAACACCACAGGAGTCCACAGTGGAAGTTTCACCTTATCAAGTGGTGACTCCTCTAACACCACAGAACTCCATGGTGGAAGTCTTAACTTCTCAAGTGGTGACTCCTCTTACACCACAGGAGTCCACAGTGGAAGTTTCACCTTCTCAAGTGATGACTCCTCTAACAACACAGGAGTCCAAAGTGCAAGTTTCACCTTATGAAGTGGTGACTCCTCTAACACCACAGAACTCCATGGTGGAAGTCTTAACTTCTCAAGTGGTGACTCCTCTAACACCACAGGAGTCCAAAGTGGAAGTTTCACCTTATGAAGTGGTGATTCCTCTAACACCACAGGAGTCCATAGTGGATGTTTCACCTTATCAAGTGGTGACTCCTCTAATGCCACAGGAGTCCACAGTGGTGACTCCTCTAACACCACTGGAGTCCACAGCGATGACTCCTCTAACACCACAGGAGTCCACAATGGATGTTTCACCTTATCAAGTGGTGACTCCTCTAACACCACAGAACTCCATGGTGGAAGTCTTAACTTCTCAAGTGGTGACTCCTCTTACACCACAGGAGTCCACAGTGGAAGTTTCACCTACTCAAGTGATGACTCCTCTAACAACACAGGATTCCAAAGTGCAAGTTTCACCTTATGAAGTGGTGACTCCTCTAACAACACAGGAGTCCACAGTGGTGACCCCTCTAGCACCACAGGAGCCCAAAGTGGAAGTTTCACCTTATGAAGCGGTGACTCCTCTAACACCGCAGGAGTCCACAGTGGATGTTTCACCTTATCAAGTGGTGACTCCTTTAACACCACAGGAGTCCACAGTGGTGACTGTTTAACACCACAGGCGTCCACAGTGGTGACCCTGTATGTCACCACTGGAGTCCACACAGTGTTGACTCCTCTAACACCACAGGAGTCCAGTGGATGTTTCACCCCACTCAAGTGGTGATTCCTTTAACACCACAGGAGTCCAGTGGGTGGACTCCTCTAACACCACAGGTAAGGTCCACAGTGGTGACTTCTCTCTTCTAACACCACAGGAGTCCACATTGGTGACTCTAACACCACAGGAGTCCACAGTGGAAGTTTCACACCTTATCGCGATGACTCCTAACACCACAGAACTCCATGGTGGAAGTCTTAACTTCTCAAGTGGTGACTCCTCTTACACCACAGGAGTCCACAGTGGAAATTTCACCTTCTCAAGTGATGACTCCTCTAACAACACAGGAGTCCAAAGTGCAAGTTTCACCTTATGAAGTGGTGACTCCTCTAACACCACAGAACTCCATGGTGGAAGTCTTAACTTCTCAAGTGGTGACTCCTCTAACACCACAGGAGTCCACAGTGGTGACTCCTCTAACACCACAGGAGTCCAAAGTGGAAGTTTCACCTTATGAAGTGGTGACTCCTCTAACACCACAGGAGTCCATAGTGGATGTTTCACCTTATCAAGTGGTGACTCCTCTAATGCCACAGGAGTCCACAGTGGTGACTCCTCTAACACCACTGGAGTCCACAGTGATGACTCCTCTAACACCACAGGAGTCCACAGTGGTGACTCCTCTAACAACACAGGAGTCCAAAGTGCAAGTTTCACCTTATGAAGTGGTGACTCCTCTAACACCACAGAACTCCATGGTGGAAGTCTTAACTTCTCAAGTGGTGACTCCTCTAACACCACAGGAGTCCACAGTGGTGACTCCTCTAACACCACAGGAGTCCAAAGTGGAAGTTTCACCTTATGAAGTGGTGACTCCTCTAACACCACAGGAGTCCATAGTGGATGTTTCACCTTATCAAGTGGTGACTCCTCTAATGCCACAGGAGTCCACAGTGGTGACTCCTCTAACACCACTGGAGTCCACAGTGATGACTCCTCTAACACCACAGGAGTCCACAGTGGATGTTTCACCTTATCAAGTGGTGACTTCTCTAACACCACAGGAGTCCACAGTGGTGACTTCTCTAACACCACAGGAGTCCACAGTGGAAGTTTCACCTTATCAAGTGGTGACTTCTCTAACACCACAGGAGTCCACAGTGGATGCTCTCACCCTATCAAGTGGTGACTCCTCTAACACCACAAGAGTCCACAGGATGTTTCCACCTTATCAAGTGGTGACTCCACACCACAGGAGTCCACAGTGGTGACCTCTTAACACAACAGAGTCCACAGTGGTGACCCTGTAACACCACTGGAGTCCACAGTGTTGACTCCTCTAACACCACAGGAGTCCACAGTGGATGCTTCACCTATCAAGTGGTGACTTCTCTAACACCACAGGAGTCCACAGTGGTGACTCTCTAACACCACAGGACCACAGTGGTGACCTCTAACACCAGGGAGTCCACAGTGGTGACTCCTCTAACACCACAGGAGTCCACAGTGGTGACCTCTAACACCACAGGAGTCCACAGTGGTGACTCCTCTAACACCACAGGAGTCCACAGTGATGATTCCTCTAACACCACAGGAGTCTACAGTGGTGACTCCTCTAACACCACAGGAGTCCACAGTGGAAGTTTCACCTTATCAAGTGGTGACTCCTCTAACACCACAGGAGTCCACAGTGATGCTCTACCCAGGAAATAGACTCAACAAATGTGGAGTCCAAATGGAAAGTTTCTCACCTTCAGTGGTGACTCCTCTAACACCACAGGAGTCCACAGTGATGATTCCTCTAACACCACAGGAGTCTACAGTGGTGACTCCTCTAACACCACAGGAGTCCACAGTGGAAGTTTCACCTTATCAAGTGGTGACTCCTCTAACACCACAGGAGTCCACAGTGGTGACACCTCTAACACCACAGGAGTCCACAGTGGTGACTCCTCTAACACCACAGGAGTCCACAGTGGAAGTTTCACCTTATGAAGTGGTGACTCCTCTGACACCACAGGAGTCCACAGTGGAAGTTTCACCTTCTCAAGTGGTGACTCCTCTAACACCACAGCAGTCCACATTGGATGTTTCACCTTCTCAAGTGGTGACTCCTCTAACACCACAGTTTTCTGTCTTGGGAATAAACTCACATGACATAACTATGCCCTCAGTACAACAAATTTCCAAAGTTGAAATCACTCCACAACCAGTAACTCTTTCAGCCCCGCAGGGCTATGGTGTTAAAGGCAACACTGCATTGCAGCAGTCCCTCATAGATATTATCAGTACAGAAGCAGTGACTCAACAAACACCACAAGATGCCAAAGGAAAAATGAGCACTTCTGAAATTGTGACACATCTTGCACCACAGGATTACATGATAGAAGCTATAGCTTCAGAGTCAGTGACTTTGTTAACTCCAGAGTTGTCTATTTTAGATGTCACACCTTTAAAAGCAGTGACTCAATTAACACCACAGAACTCTTTGGTGAAGGTCAAGACTTGTCAAGCAGTTACTGCTCTAACACCACAGAATTCCATGAATGATGTTGATTCATTTCAAGAAGCAAGTTGCCTCTCACCAGAAGACTCCATGGTGGAAGTTGAAACTCATCAAGAGGTGAGTTACATCTCACAGCAGGACTCTACAATGAAAATTGGTACTTTTCAAGATGAAAGTCATTACTTACCACAGGACTCACCAGATGATAGCAACACACCACATAAAATACCTCTTGTGGCTCACCAAAGTTCTGTGGTGGAAGTCCAATGTGGTGAGTCAATAATTCACGTAGCACCCCAGTACTCTGTTTCAGAAATTTCCTCAAATGAAGTAGTTACTATTTTAACTCCACAAAATCCTGTGACTGAAGTCATTAGCCCTAAAATTTTGAGTCCTTTAGTACCCCTGCACTCTAGTATTGAAGTTGGTAATATACTGCAAAACTCCTTTGTAGATGTCAATGAGAGTATATCATCGGCTCTTCAAACACAGCAGAACTCCTTGGTGGAAGTCAGTACTTTTCAGGGAGTGACTCCTCAAATACCACAGAACTCCACGATTGATGTAACAGACTCTCGTGAAGTGACTCCTCTAAAACCACAGAAGTTCATGATAAATGTCAGAACTTCATTAGCAGTGCCTCCCTTATCACCCCAGATATCCACAGTAGAAGTCTCACCTTCTCGAGCAATGCCCCGTCTAACTTCAAATAACAAGATTGAAGTTGATGTTGCTCAAGAGGCAAGTCATCTCTTACAAGACTCCATAGAAGTAGTTAAAACTCATGAAGTGAATCAAGCCCCACCACAAGACTTCACAATGAATGTTGGTATTATTCAAGATGCAAGTTGTCATTTACCAAAAGACTTCATGGTTGATGCCAGCTCACATCATGAAATGTCTCATGCAAAACCACATAGTTCCATGGTAGAAGTTGAAAGTGGTCAGGCTGTAACCCTTTTAACAGAAGTCAACTCTCATGAAGAAGTTAATCCATTAAAATCACAGAATTCTATGATTGGACCTCAAACAGTCACTCCTTTAGTATTACAGAGGGCTAATGTTGAAGTCAACACAATATTGTGGCAGTCCCTTGCAGTTTTAAACAACACCGAAGCAGTGACTTTACAAACACCACAATATCCCCTGGTGGATGTTAAGACTTCAAAATCAATCACTTCTGTTGCACAAAACACAATGGAAGCTAACACTCTGGAAACAATGACTCCTCAAATATCCAGGAATTCCATGGTTGAACCCAGCACACTACATGAAATGTCTCCTATGACACCACAAAGTTCTGAGGTGGAAGTTCAAAGTGGGCAGGCAGAAACTCTTCTAGCATCACAATACCCTGTTTTGGAAGTTAACTCCCATGAAGTAATTACTCCTCTGAAACCACTAAATTCCATGGTTGAAGTCATTACTTCCCAAACAGATGCTCCTTTAACCCCACTGAGTCCTAGCATTGAAGTCAATACTGGATTGCAGCCATCCCTGTTGAAAGTCACAACTACTGAAGGAATGGCTCTACAAGCATCACAAAACCCCATGGTGGATATCAACACTATTCAAGTTGTTACATCACCGAGACAGCAAAAGCTGATAGCAGAAGTCAATACCTGTACCACTCAAGCAGCAATGACTCCTATACACCAGGAAACTGCCTTTGGTGTCCATTCTCTGATGCCAGTGAACTCCATGGATGAAATTAAAGCTTCCGAAGCAGTGAATCCTCAAACGTCTCGCAAATGTATGGCAAAAGTTGGTTCTTCTCAAGTAAAGGGTCTTCTGAGTGCACAGAACATCATGGTGGAAGCTAACATTTCTCATCCAGCGAGTTCTCAAACACCACAGAATTTAGTGGTTGAAATGAACACTTCACAGGCAGTGAATCCACTAACACCACAGAATACAGTGGAAGAAGTTAACATTCCTAAAGCAGCAATACCTTTAACATCATCAAACTCTATGATGAAAATCTGCACTGCAGAAGTAGCGACTCCTCAAACACCACAACACTCTGTGGTAGATGTTGATATTAATGAATTAACACCTCAAATAACACAATATTCAGTGGTCAAGGTCAGTACTGATGAAACAACTCCTCAAGCACCACAATATTCAATGCCTGAAATCACAACAGATGAAATGATTCCTCAAACACAGCAGTACTCTGTTCATACTCATGAAATTACTCCTCTAATCCAAAACTCTGGGATTGAGGTAGTTACTGATGAGACTACAACGTCTTTAACATGTCAAACCTCTGTAGTAGACATGAGTACTCATGAAGCAATGAGTTCTCTCACACCACAGTACCCTATGGGAAGAGTCAGTGTTTGTCAAGCTGCAACTCCATCACTTCCAAAGAACTCCCTGGTAAAAATCAAATTTCCACAAGGATATGCACCTCCTAGACCAGAGGATGCCAACACTTTGCAAGAAGTGGCTGCTACACCAACAGAGGACCTCAAGGTGAACATTACTACAGTACAGTCAAGAGCACCCTTTTCCCTACAGACTACTCAGATGAAATCATTAACTGATGTCCCACCACAGAATGTCTTGGTAGATCCTCAATTAAAATCAATAAATTCTTTGACATTACATAAGTGTGATGTAGATGCACTTGGTTCAGAGTTAGATATCGGTACTTTACCAGTCTCCTCCATCTTGGAAATAAATACCTCGGATGCTGTGCCTTCTACACTACAAGCAACTTTATCAGCTGTAAATCACTCATCTTGCTCATATATTCCCCCTATTCACCATAACTCTGTAACCTCAACCTGTGGCCAAGTCTCCAGAAAGGAAATGAAACCCCTTCAACTAATTCAGTCTTCAGAAGTTGATCCTCTAGCAACATCTACACCAATTGATTCACAGAACTTCATAGTGGATAATAGTAAAATTTTTACATCAACTACTGCCACTTCCACTAATACTGGAGAAAGCACTCCAGGCATACCCATGTCCACTATTACAGAAACAATTTATGTGCCACATGACTCGGAAAGTAGTGTTCATTTCAATGATTATACATCAGAAATTGTTAGGGCTGCTGCTAGATACACTAGAGAAGACACTGATATAAAAGATGAGGTATGCACTGCAGCAGTACCTGTACACAACTCATTAATGGAAAGCTACACACTTTCTGGTTCTTCAAATGTAATATCACCTCAAGTCATTCTGCCTGATGGGATTCACACATTGGCAGTAAAAGTTGAAACAGCCACTTCACATCCAGTTTCCCATCAAACTAGTGAAAATAGTGATGGAATATCTACTATATGTGCACCAAAGAACTATGCAAGAGATGAAAACCAATATCCTCCAAACATATTATCAACATTACCTACTCCAGACGAGAAAAACAGTGAGAGACCTTTGGCAGAATGTATTCCCAAACCAATTATTAGTGTACCAGGAAGTCTTTGTCAAAGAGATGCAATTAGAAATACAATAGTTGTTCAAGATGAAGCCTGTACCATTTCCTCAAATTTTAATGGAGAGAAATTACAAGCAGAAGCAAAAAATCCTCTTCTGAAGAGAAATAGACCCGAAGCAGTTGTTGGAACACATCTACCATTAACAATTCGAAAAACCTCTGTAAGTAAGGAAGAATCACCTGCTCTGATCCAATTGGTTCGTACACTGCCCTCTGAAATAAAAGACAAGTCTCATGTTTCATTAGGTCCACACACTGAGCAAACTGCTGTACTGGAAACAAAACCTATAAACTCAAAATCAACAAAACCTCCACCTTCAGATTTGCCCAGAGAATTGGAGTGTCTTCCTCAACAGCTGGGGCATGCAGGTTGCAGTTCAAGCACAAGTGAGAAGGTCGATTGTTGCAATGAGTCCGGTGTTGAATCAGAGGATGTTTCACTTGCTGAAGATGCTCTCTTGGCTTGGGATCCTGATTTTATGATTAGTTGTGAACAACAGAGAAAAGATGCTCAATCAAATAAGCAATTGATAATTTACAAAGAAGGCTTGGATAGACAGTTATTCTCAGAAAAAATTTGTTTTGATCAAGATGATACATACACAGCAGGGCCTGCAAAAGCAGGTATCAACGTGAAAAGTAGTCAAGACAGTATGCTTACATTGAGCCTTGGACAAGTGTCTGGCAACAAAAATGAAATACCCACTGACATGTCTACAATTAAAGGCAAAAGCATAACTATCAGTGATGAGT